ATTAAAACTTGGTTCCATGAAAGGGTGACATGTGCACATGGGTTCTATAAAGCCAAAACAGCAGTCAATTTCCAAACTGAGGGCATTTCTGTCTTTTTGAAGGCTTAAAGCTCATAATCATGTATTCAGCAAACTTACCAAACACATTCACCAATATCACAAACCATTCTGAGAAGTTTAGATGCAACCATTATTGCTACGGGAAAAGTGAAAAGCGCTGCTTTCTAACTTTCATGTCCACTTCTGCCAGGAAATTCAAGGAAAGAGCATTTTTGAATTGAAAACACCTGTGCATTGCATTATTGCGACACTGTTATTACTGCGAACTAGATTGAAGGGTTATGACAAGAATACAAGAACTTCGAATCGCCGTGAAACCCTTCTTCTTGCTTCGGTAATATAAGGCTACATTTGTGGAGTGGGCTTGGCAAATCACACTACAAAAGAATCTTTATTCACTTTAAAAAAGTATTAAAAGATTCGGATAAAACGAAATACGGAAGAAGAAAATGAAACTAGAATGAAGCATTATGTTGTATACCTACAGAAATTTTTGAAATCAGTTCAGCCTGAATACTCTTTCCTCTTATAATAGATTGTGCGAATGAGTTACCTACTGTGATTTGGTAAGTTTAGCTGCAGTCCAAATAATTTATAAGGCTGGCTATAAATAAACTAAGTTACGTAATAATACGTATTCATTCAACGTTATATAACACTGCTAACACGTTAAATAAACTTGGTTGACTTGATCAGGGGTGTAAAAGTAAGGGGGGCTATAAGGAGACTTAGCCCTCCTTGTCAATGCTGAAATACTACAATTTTATACTTCTAGCTATCATTTTTGAAAAAAATTACAAAAGACCCTTTTCTTCTTCATAGCATTGCAACCCTTAGTTTCTTGTTGTAGAATGAACCAAGGCGTAGACATGTTTCCAGAATACCAAAAAGGTTTTAACAGGTTCCAGGTGGCAGTTTCAAACAAAACACTTAATTAAAAAAAATGCTTTATCAAAAGCGAGAAACAATGGACTTTTCATAAAGAAAAAATAGACCTAGTACAGAGGCCTGAGGGACACAGTGTGAGCTTCTCAAAACGTTAGAGGACTTTTCAACCCGTATGCAATTTGATAACATTGCACACTACTCGACGTCAATGCGTTTCCACTGGCATTGTTGTCGGAAGAAAATATCTCACAAATAACAATACAACTCCTTTCGAATGGCAAAATGTCCATTAAGTTTAAATGAGCACATATCTTTTCATACATGTATCGTACATTGAATTTCATATCTTTTATCGTCGCTCCCTGTCGCTATTAATGTAAGATAGAAGCGGAAATGTCACCAGCCCTTAAATGAAATCATTTATAAAATTAAGTTTGCACGTTGAAGTTGTGGTCTTCGAGGGTCGATTAATCGTTAAAATAATTAGACCCTTCAACTCTAAAATCTTCTTTTCCATGAGAAAAAGATTTATAAAAACCTTTGTTAAAACGATAGTACAGTATTGAAACTAAACCCTCTCAAGAGCTTATCAGCCATTGAAAGGCAGGCTAGCTAGAAAAGCCTCTCGCCGTTTATCTCGGCGTCATAAAAGCTATTTAACAGAAGACATAGCTTGATACAATTCGCGAGTAATAGCTATACATATTCTATGAGAGAAAACTGGACATATGGTAGTAAAGTGTTTTCTTGGCTCTATTCAACTTCACAGACCTTTTATCATTTGCGTCACCATTGTACTTGCATCCAGGCCCAGAAAAAAAGAAAAGTCGAACTTTTACTTAAATATGCGCTGGACGACATTTTCCTATTAAATTATTCGATATCATCAAGCATTTCAAAAGATGTATCTATAATCATGATTCAATTTGAAACCAAATCAATCAGAAAAATATCCTTTATCAAAAGATAGAAATCATGGACTTGCATAAAACAAAAAGAGAACCCGGTAGAGAGGCGTGAGGGGCAGACTGAACTGGTAAACAGGTCAGAGGACATTTCATCCGGGATTTAATCTGAGAAGATTGGGCACTATTCCACGTCAAGGCGTTTGCACCAGCCTTGTTATCAGTAAATACCTCACAAAAATCATACAGATTCTTAACGACAATTTATGGATCTGACTAGCCACATACAGTGAAATACTAGTAAAAAATTCCTTTCTATTTTATCACAGCCAATGTACATGTTTGTATATTTTGCAAGTGGTAAACTTGTTGGGAACGTAAAATCATCAGTTTCGTAATCGCTGATTACGTAGGTACGCTAATGACTTTTGTAATTAGTAGGCAGTTTAGGACGCATAGAGTAGATTGCTTGCTGCTCTAATGTTAGCTAATTAAGGATCGTTTAGAAGCCTCTAGAAAGTTCTAAAGATCGCTGAAATAGAACCGCTTATTATGCGTCACGTAGAGTTCATAGTTATACACCGGCTTTTTGGTGTACAAGTTATCAAAAGGCAATCTCAGGATATTTCTTCCTTGAATATCTTCCACAAACCCCTTATCACTTTACATGTCATTCCATTTGCCTATCTTCATACCAAATTTCGGTTTTGATTAAAATCGAGCTTGCGCGCAAAAAAACATCTACCTGAGTTTGCCTCGGGTTTTTTTCCACACTGTAAATCGGCAAAACTAGCTGGTTAAGACAGGAAATAAGGTAATTTGAGTATTGCGGATAGGGAAAAACATTGACAATAAAGAGCGCACTGAAGGAGGTGAGCCTGTCATAATTGGTGTCGTCCAGAGAAGATAGCGTATCATGCGAAGACCATTGACAACTTTTAAATGCATCCGTTTCGTTGCCATTGCAACAGCCTAGGTACAAGATCTTTAATAGTGGAACATCATCTCACATTTCGGCCCATAAATAATTCTGGCCAAAGATCATCTCGCAAGTAAGCAATTGTTAAACACAATAACTACACAATTATGGTATGAAATATAGAGCATGTCATAAAAAGGAGTATGGTGGCGAAATGGTTGCCATGATAACTGCAATTCAAATTTTAGTGCCTTTCTATCTATCAAGTCATTTGTTAGACGTATAAAGAACTAACGAATATGTGCAAAAACATTAAAAAGTTGGTATACTTTTTGAATGATATCCCTAGTCCATAGAAAGACGTCACAGTTTTTGGTTACTGTGCTTGACCAAACACGCACGTTAACCCACAGCGCTGGAAATCTTAAATTTAAAAATCTGGGAATCAGTGATATTTTAGAGAGAAAAAAGCTCGACAGCCCTTTATTTAAAACCAATAAAACAAGATAACAAAGAAAGTCAGAGTCATAAGCACTTAAAAGATGAAATTTAATGAATCGATTCGGAGGCGCTTCAGTAGGAAATTCAGAATGGGCATCAGGTAGAATCTGATTCAGCATGAAATAACGAGCATATTAATAGAAAACTATTTACGATCCGCTCCAAATGCATATTGTACGTGCCGCTAGCAACGGGTCTAAATATTTGATGCTCTGGTTTCTACTGAGAAAAAAAGCCAAAAAATTTTATTTGCGCAAAGGTTCTGATTGCCTAAGATAAACATTCCCTTATAATTACAGGAAATTTTTTAATTTCGTAATTGCGCATTAAATGTTTACGTTTTTCAATCTAAATTTGGGTCATTTAACTATATTCAATAAAACGTTAATGATTTATTACAATTAAAAACTACAGATGCTAGACTTTACACGTATTTTCCAAATATGTTCTTTTGAAAACCCACTACCGAAGTGTAAATGATGGGAAATATTATGTAAATAATGGAAGTTGTTTTGATGCAAATGAAAGCTTTTCTTGCTCAAATATCCGCCTGTAATGAAAGAAACTGCATTGTTTTGAAGTCAGTTGAAGCATATTTTTTTAATTAAGTTTGACTTTTTTTGGTTAAAAGTTTTCTCGCAAGCATTAAAAGACCGAGTTTTTTGGAAAGACATACAATGAGTTTTACTCTATACAGATATGGACTGCCATTTGCAAAAAGCATCAAATTCAACAAAGCATATCACTTGATAAAATGTTAAGAAGCATTGCAAAGATTGCAACAAAATAGGTTAGCTATATTTGTGAATATATTTCAAGGCATCATTGGCATCGGACTCCAAAGGATCCTTAGGGATCAGGCATTGGCATCGTTTATGCCTATATAGCATTATGGCATAGCCCAGTTATTGCCTTAACAGACCAATTCAATCACTTTTCATAGATTATTCAAGAAAAAAGATTATCTAATTGATACCAAGAGGGCGATTAAAGCACTTATGTTCAAAACGCAACGAAGCACTTGAACTACACAATTATAGCATTGAATTTGAAGGGCTGACAACAGAAAGTTTTTCAGATAAACGCAAACATATCGTTTCACATTTTCGTCAGAAAAAACCTATTTTCTCTCGGTGTCATGAATATTTTTGGTCTACCAACCCTTTTTTGGCTGCCAGCCATAAACATTTACCTTTTTGAGCAAAAGAATTTTAGCAGTCTACAGCTGTAATATTTTAATTACTTTTGCCGTTTTGATTTAAAGAAAAATCAATTTATCCTTGAAAACTTTATGTTAGTATCTCACGGATCAAAAAATACTTACAATTTATTTTCACAAACTCTTTTTGTACCTGGATGGTTTTACGACATAAAAAAATTGAAAGCTCCAAGGAAACATCTGCCTTTTCCTAATAGCAGGGATTCAAATCAGGCAGGGATTAAACAATCTTTTAAAATTTATTGCATAAAGGCTTAAAAAATTGAACTTTTTATGTATGTGTAGATACATGAAAGGGGCAGCATAAATTGCATAGCAAGCGTCATGAGCCCTGGTAACAGAATAAATTTCTCTCAGGTCTGTTTTGGCATTATCATCCCCCTCTTACACCTTTGCGTGCATATATGATTTACGATAAATATTTTGGCTAGCCAATGCTCAAAACAATGGATATAGCAGAATGGTTAAATTCCGCGCCATAAATGGCAGATATATCAAAGTATCTAACCTGTATATTCGTATTTTGCACAAGACAGATCCATTGTATCGTTCAGCTTTAGTTCAGTGACACCCCGGAGCCATGATAGGAGGTCACAATACAGGACATTTCTAAGGAATATAATGTATCTACATTTAGAAACATGCAACCTAGCAATTTACAACTGTCCTGTGCTGTATTAACCAAAGCGTCTTTATAGAAATATATTCGGTAAAGGAATCTATACTTTTGCATAAAACCAATAATACCAAATGTAAAGCGTTTTAAATAAACAAGATGATGAAAAGTTGTCAACGATTGTAAAGAGATAAATCGCGAATATAATAAACCTTTTCGTTTTTAGCAATATTGTAGCCAAATGGACAGCACAAAGCACGAGTAAATGATGGAATCTGTACATTGTTATAAAAGGAATTTTCATAAGCGAGCTATCCAAAGTGGGAGTAACACACTATTAAGAGTAGAATGTGAATACCTTAGTGTTTCTATTGTTTTTACTGTCGATACCTTGAGGTCATGACTCTGCAATGAAGAAAAGATTTGCGAAAAACATGAAAGAGTTGCGTGAATGGTGTAAGAAAAATGTTCATAGATTGAAATTAAAAGAGGGCATAACAAAGTAGAACAGAAGAGAACAGAAGAGAACAGAAGAGAACAGAAGAGAACAGAAGAGAACAGAAGAGAACAGAAGAGAAAAGAAGAGAACAGAAGAGAACAGAAGAGAAAAGAAGAGAACAGAAGAGAAAAGAAGAGAACAGAACAGAGCAGAAGAGAGCACAACAGAGCAGAAGAGAGCAGAGTAGAGTAGAGTAGAGTAGAGTAGAGGAGAGCAGAGCAGAGCAGAGCAGAGCAGAGCAGAGCAGAGCAGAGCAGAGCAGAGCAGAGCAGAGCAGAGCAGAGCAGAGCAGAGCA